AAATGATTAATTTGTTTTGATGTAAAACCTACTAGCGTGAACAGCATTTATACAAATGATTTCAATCAAGGTACATTTCCTTTCAGAACGTTTCTTTGAAATAGGTTTTTCTTTCTTCTTTTACCGTAGATTTGTGTGGTATCTAGGGTTTCCCTCTAGAGTGCTCTCTCTCTCTCTCTCTCTCTCTTTGTGTTAACACATCCAGGGTCCATGAGTAAACCCAAATCGTTTTAATAATATAAACTAAAAAGAAGACACCCCCAAAACCCACTACAGAAACAATCAGTTCCATAACACAACGTTTTATATTTAGAGGAGCAAATTCGTTAGGCTTCGAGCAAGGTTACTTGTAGAATCTTCAAATTTAATGTCGGGTGATGATTTTGTCTTCAACTTAACATAGAGAGCCTCCTTCGGTCTCCTTTCTACATGATGTCATAATGACATAACTATATCATGGCTTTTACAATTTCAAAGAATATTCAAATAATCCCTCTTACACGTGAACGTGGTCAATCAGACCATGTCGTTCATGAAGTGAAGCCCTCTTAGATACAAGTATAGCATACCATATAGCTAAATGCGTAAATGTAGTTCTGTATTTACATTTTAGGGGTTTCACTTTATTTCCTGAATTACATTTTGAAATACAGTACGACCCAGAAAAAACAAAAACGAGAAATATCGATGTTTTATCATAACTTAATTACAATTATAATTAATAAATGACACATATTTTTAAAGCTTAGATCCTCTTCTTTCATTGATGGAACTCGTATGATGCATAATTCACGTATGAGAGATTAAAAGCAATTTAAAGGAAGGAAACCAAAAAGTCATTTTACGTGCGGTATCTGAATTTCAAAAGGAAAAAGTTTCTGCCCCTTCATATGACACCTCAATCAGGACAAATGACCAAGGAATAACAAAGTTGTGTTTGTCTAAAGTGATCCTTGCATTTCCATAATTTGATTTTAAAAGTTCGTTTTTACTGGCTTCCTGCCGTAGCAACAAACGGAATTGACAAAAGACTTAAATCCGTTTCGTTGACGATCAGACATAGACGAAATACTTCATGCATGGCTGATTGTCAATGAAACGGAGTTAAGTCTTTTGTCAATTCTGCTTGTCGCTACGGCAGGCAGCCAGTGAAAACGAACTTGTTAACTTTTTGTAATTGTGATTAAGTTATGATAAAACATCGATAATTCTCAGTTTCGTTTTGTCTGGGTCGCACTATACATATCAGGCTTATAAAAGATGGTAGACCTGAATATCTGGTAGAGTGTCATAACCAGAAGCCAAAATATCGTTTTCCCTTTTTTTTCACTGCAGTTATAATTATGTCTGTCTGAGTTTGCTCGTATATTATTTTGGCGAGGAATGTTTGTATCGAAGTTGAACAAAGTAATACCCAGATTTGTACATGCTTACACTTAAAATAGTTTTCCATTGTGATTTAACTGTAAAGAATCTTTTCGACAAATATGTTTTTGAGCTTCTAGTTAAGCACCCACGCACCTCAGCAGGGGCGTACGCAGGGGGGGGGGTTTGGGGTTCAAACCCCCCCCTTGGTATTTATATGTGTGTAAACCCCCCTAAAAAAAACTAACCCCCCCCCCCCCCTTTGTTTTGTTTTGTTTTTAATTTTAAAAAATTTAAAAAAAAAAAAATTATGCCCACGGCTAACGTAAAGTGACCTTACCCCCCCCCCCCCCCCCAACGAAAAAAAATGTCAAATTTTCAAATTTCGAGACCAAAAAAAACACAAAAGTGTCCGCTTACCCCCCCCCCCCCCCCCCCCCCCCCCCCCCAAACGAGCGACATTTCGGCCGGCGCGATTTTCAAATTTTCGGGAGCAAAATATTTTGGGCCAGATTTTAACCCCCCACCCCCCTTGAAAAAATCCTGCGTACGCCCCTGGTCCTCAGGATACAATCAGTGATCACAAATTTTTACAAATGATTTCAATCAAGGTACGTTTCCTTTCAGAATGTTTCTTTCAAATAGGTTTTTCTTTCTTCTTTTATCGTTGTATACAAGCCCAGCCTTATGAAATATCTTATTTGCATACTCCTAGGAAGTCACTCTCGACTTCTCTCTCGCGTGCTCTCTCTCTCTCTCTCTCTCCCTCCCTCTCTCTCTCTCTCTCTTTCTCTCTTTGTGTTAACAAATCTAGGGTCCATGAGTTAACCCAAATCGTTTTGATAATATAAAATAAAAAGAAGACACCCCTAGAAAAACCCACTACATACACAATCAGTTCAATAACACAACGTTTTTAATTTAGAGAAGATAATTCGTTAGGCTGCGAGCAAGGTTACTTGTAGAATCGTGAAATTTAATGTCGGGTGATGATTTTGTCTTCAACTTAAAGGTACTATTTCCCTTTTGCAGCCAACCCCAAATTCTGTAGAACTTTGCAGGAATTATGAATATGTCATGTATGTCTTATCTGTGAAATTTAAACGTTAGCAGTGTCCTAATATTCAAAATATGCAAGGAAACCCGTTTTACTTGCAAGACTTCACTATCAGACACTATTGGGTGACTAACTGGCTTTGGTTCTTCTTTGGTAACAACAAACATAAAATGAGCTGTAAAGGGTACATGAGCATTTTGTCTACATCAATAACCCACTTCTTGTGATGACCAAAATTAAACTGATTGAATCATTCCGCAGCATAAAACGTATGACCATTCAGTACAATGGTCTGAAAATCAAGACTATTACTTATTGGCTCTATAGCTCCTAAGTCGATTTGACAACTAATAGTCGTTAATTTTCCAACTTGAAGACATTTTCAAGCCCTACCTGTTTCAGGGAAGTTCTAAATTAGTATTATCTTTCAAATGCCGTTGGAATTAAACCTTTTCATTTTTTGGCCTGCAAATGGGACATAGTACCTTTAACATAGAGAGCCTCCTTCGGTCTCCTTTCTACATGATGTCATAATGACATAACTATTTCATGGCTTTTACAATTTCAAAGATTATTCAAATAATCCCTCTTACACATCAATGTGGTCAATCAGACCATTTCAAGAACGTTCAGTTTCTGCCCCTTTATATGACACCTCAATCAGGACAAATGACCAAGGAATAACAAAGTTGTGTTTGTTTAAAGTGATGCTTGCATTTCCATTATTTGATTTTAAAAGTTCGTTTTTACTGGCTTCCTGCCGTAGCAACAAACGGAATTGACAAAAGACTTAACTCCGTTTCGTTGACGATCACTAAAAACTCTACGTGATGCTAGGAGTCCACTGGGCCAGCGCCAGTTGGTGCCAGTTCGCGCCAAAGATTATGTGATTGGCGCGTAGTGGCTCGCTGTGGCGCCGAATTAATGTCCGCTCGGCATGTGTAGCCAAGTGGAATAAACTGGGTTCCATATGGCGTGCGCCAAATGCCACCCGGCTTGCTGCAAAATGTTGCGCCAGTTTGCGCCAGTTCGCGCCATTACACGGCCATTTGATTCCAAAATTCACCCTGTTGGCGCCATTCGCGCCAATAGACGGCTACTTTGCGCCACTTGGTGAATAGTTTGTGCCAAAGGTCGCCAAATTGGTTTGAACTTGCCGCCGCTTGGCGCTACTTGCCGACTATATAAATACCGGCCATCGGCTACCTGGTTCAGACCCTCCTCAGCTGCTGTATGAACAACATCTCTACTACAATTTTGATAGGCGGCAAGTGGCGCCGAATGGCGGGCAACCAGGTGGCATTTGGCGCGAAGTAGTCACCAATCGGGTGCCGTTTGGCTCGCGCCACTGCACATTTGGCGCGCACTTGGCGCCAAGTGGCGCCATGTGGCGCGAAATCTCATTGGCGCAACTTGGCGCGCCATTACATTCCAGTGGATTCAAATAGGCGGACACTTGGCGCTGATTGCTCGATGCAAGTGGCGCGACGAAAATTTCAAACATTTTGAAATTTTCTTGCCGCCACATTCAAATTTGGTGCCGTTACGGGCCACCACAAGCCAGTTGGGAGGCAGTTTGAGCCACTACACGCCACTAGGCACCTTATTGGCGACACTAGGCGCCACAGTAAATTGCATTGGCGCAAACTGGCACCAACTGGCGCCGCACAGTGGGCCAGGGAGGAACCAAAGTGCGCCAAAACTCATGTTTGGGGATTTATTTTTTATAAATCCAGAGGAAATGTTTGAATTTCCAGGGATTTGCGCTAAAATTTTATTACCAACATTTTCTCTGATGTCTAAGCTTTAAGTTGATACCAGATTTGGCTGCCCAATTCTGCCCGTTATTATGTTAGAGCCGTTTTCCTTGCAACATTGCCCCGAAAATGTGTTTATTTCGGTCCGCGGTGTCAGAATAAGTGTCACGCGCCCCCTCGCGCCGTGATTTATGACCACGAATCCTTCATGATTCAGCCGCGGACCCCGAAAACCCACATTTTTTCGGGGCAATGTGGCAAGGGAAATCGGCTCTAACATAACAACGGGCAAGATCGGGCAGCCAAATTTGGTATCAACTTAAAGCTTAGACATCAGAGGAAATGGTGGTATTAAAATTTAAGCGGTACACTGCGGAGATCTAAACATTTCTTCTGGATTTATAAAAAACATGGATAATTAGTCAATTTTTCAGTGAATTACCCTATAATATATCATGAAGATTGTGTTTCTATTAATTTTAACCCATTCATTCAACGAAATGAACTATCAGGAATATGTGAGAGCAATTTCATATCAATAACTTAAAAACTTCATGTTGAATTGAAAGATTTATAAAATAAGTCACTTTTGCACTAAAACTGTGAATATGTAGGATTTTGCTGTTTGAAATAGTAAATTTATACCATTGTGCATAACGGAATTAAATATTTCACTGAGGTATTCCTCTATGTATTACCTTTCAACTGGGCAAGAAAAAAATTGAAAAAAAAAAAATCACCCAAACTTAGTTTTGGCGCACTTTGGTTCCTCCCTGGCCCACTGTGCGCCGCCCAGTGGACTCCTAGCATTAAGGACTCACCGATATAACTGCACTGTACTGTAGTCCAATGTTCCTCGATGCGATGCTGTGATGTTCCGATATCTCCGTATATTAATACTTCTCGTGGTGCAACTCTGGTTCTGTGTTCTGCGTTCTGACTGAGGCGGCGGGATTAAGCCTCTTTATATACGGCGCACGCATGTACATGCGAGCATGGAAAGCCACCCGACGCACGCACATGCGTGCGGTCCGTATTGATTATTTCCAAAATTCCTCCCAACTAAATAGACTAAATTATACTCAGTTATATATTTATTATCTAGATTACAGTGTCCCAGTAACATTACCTCAGATCCCGAAGCAAAATCCTGGATTTAACTCATGCCACAAACGTAATTATAAACCTTTACGCCTTTAAGTTTTTTTTTAAATCTGCTTAAGTTAAAAATAAGAACGAACACTGTAAAGACCAGGGTGTAGAAATTCTTACACCAGTACGGTATTGAATTTGTTTGACACCATTAGTGTTGATTATAGTCTCAGTGGTGTTATTTTTTAACACCGGTCAGATTTAAGCATGCATTAATAATTACTGGGTGTTAAATAACATGGTGTAGTTTTATGCTCGGTGTTGAAAGTATCATCACGTGATTTCATTTAAGGCGGTTGATTGGTCGAATAAGTTTTCACAAAGTGTACGCGCGATTAATGATTACTTTACACGTGTTCTCAGAAAAATACATTTTTCATGATTTGTTAAGCAAATTATGACAATGCACATCAATTTTGTGATTTGTATTTTCCTTTGGCAATTATTGACCAATAGATTATTTGTCCGATCTTGTTACAATTACATTAACGTTTTAGCAATAGATATATTGATTATATTATGATTACTAACCAAGAAACGATATGCATGTTTATTATATATTCGTGTATCAGCCTGTATCACTTAAATGTTTATCTTAAATATACTTCAAATGATCTATGTGATGAAGTTAATGCAATGGAGATTAGAATATACCTATCGGTGGACAGTTTCCAAGATCGATTGTGAATTATCAGTTTACCACTGGTTCTTCTACCCTGGTCGATAATGGTAGATAATAGGAAATATGGAATGTGGGACCATTAGAAACCCATAAAAAAAAAAAAAATGGAATTGAATTTGTTATGATTCCAGATATTGGTGTTAATCTACACCAGTAGGAGTAAGTAACACCAGAGGAGTTGTCCGATATAGATACCAAGAAAGTGTTAAATTGAACACCCTTGGTGTTAATTTTAACACTCTGGTTTTTGCAGTGAAGTTTTACTTTTAACGGAAGTTAGACTTTGAGTTTAGACCCTACTTTTGTTTTAGTTTTAGTTTTACTTGTACTTTTAGTATAAGTAGTTTAGCTAATACATTTAATTTAGAGTCTATAACTCTAGATCATCATTTTATAATTATCAATTTATGTCAGCCACTAGTCAGTAATTTAGAGGTGAGTAGATCAGGATCTAGACAAAACTGAGTCACTGTGACTTTACTTGTAAAGGTGTGCTTGGGATGTAAGCAGCTTCAGGGCTCCAAGCCCAAGGCCAACATGGCCAAGGGCAAGGGGGGTTATGAAAATGATCATCATGCTGAGCTGAGATGGCATGGGATATATAGACCCTCCTGTTTAACTGATAGGGAATAAGTTGCCTTTCAAGCGAAAAGGGAGACTGAAGTAATCTCATGAGAAGTCTACCAGTTGGGGAACAGTGCACACACATTTAGCTTATTTTTGTCCATTGTCTGTACTCAACGTGTGTTTTAAAGGCCACACTTTAGTATCCTTGGTCCCTCATCCTATAACATAATTCTTTTTAACAAGTGTTCTTGATACCAGCAAATGCAACTCCACTCCGTGTTTTAAAGAATTTTCCAACCAAGCACCATACCAGATGATGTACATGTCACAACATTGCACAGGAGAATCTACAGGAATAACCTACACTTCAGTGGTAATGATTATGATGATGTTTTTGCTTTCACTTAGTTTCAGATGCAGTAGATACAATTTGCACTTATATGAAGGAAGCACTAGAACTGGTACATCTATTTTCAATGCCGTAGGCCAGATACAAATCCAGATGAGAATAGTTTTCATGGTCTGTGAATGAAAATCACACATTAGAAGCATATAGAGAGTTATGATTAATCATGACCGGTCTGTATAATGCCATCCATTGATTTGCGCTCACTACCGAACTTGCGATCGATAAAAATCTTTGAAATACACTGCTATTATATATGATGGCTACATAACCAATTAAATATTACAGGGAAATATAGATAGGGAATATGTAACGCACTTAGCAGACATAGTACAAAGCTGGACAGGAACATGTTTCTAATTTTGGCGAAGGCTATATAAGTGCATGACCATTGGTATATAATATTTTCAGCTAAAACTTCTATGAACCAAAATTGGAATATTTGTTGTAAATAGAGTGTATAGAGTCAAGTCTTGATCGTCAAGTACCAAGCACACTCACTGCATATGTGCATTGGGGTGGTAGTTGTTTGGTAGGGGCAATTGAAAACGTCTGTTTGGGGTCAGTTATGCCTAGTGATTAGTTTGATGTACAAAAGATAATATTAGATGTATTTCTTTACCGATGCTTGCAACAAAAAAAGAAGGAAAATAACCTGTACTGTAATTATTTCTTTTATCCTACAAAATTATATTGGATACAGGGACCGACAAGATGGTTAGATGGGGTCAGGGGGGCCCATCCCCCCAAAAAGCTAAAAAAAAACACGTGTATTTACACGTTTTTTTTTTCTTCCAGGGGGGGGGGGTCCCCCGCCCCCCCCCCCTCCCCCTAATTGTAAACATTTTGAACATCATATAGAAAACTCCACTTATAATTTTAATTGTGTGTAGAATTCAGTAATCGCAATGAAATGAATTGATTATAAAATCAATGAATTGATTTAAAGAGAACTGGTAACATATTGTCCATGATTTCTGAAACAATGAACTGAATGGTCGTACCTGTGTCAGTTTTCTGTTACAGTATTGTAATGAACTCCTGCAAACACAAATCTCTGATATTCAAATGTTTAGCTCAGAACAGCTATTTATCAGGTATACCTACCTCATTTTAGAAATCAGTCATGCATATTAGAGTTCTGGATTTCAGTTCCATGAAATCTCATATCGTATTTTTGTACTGAAAAATGTGTTTACTTCTTTTAAATGTTTCTATTTACAGGGGTTGATGCCTTTATTAGAACATAAATATAACTTACATTTCCACAATTTTTTTTTAGTTCACAATGTTACTAGTTCACATTAATGGATTTTATTTTTATTTCTCTTGTTATTCTTATCATAATTGTATTTGGTACTTCAAACTATCCTATAATCATACAATATAATGTTGCTGTTTTGAATTTATCTGTATGATGAGAAATGAAATTGTTTAGTCAAAATGATATTTCCATGTTTAGCATGCATTGTTCAGCTGATAATTGTTTAGTCAAAGATTACGTGTTCGCCTGGGTGAAGATAACCTTTTAACATTGGTAAACTTTGTAGCGTTTGAGACTGTGTACTAAATTTTATTGAAATACCCTGCTAAGAGATTGTGTAAAATGACTTGCTTCTGATACTCTACTCACAAAACTTTTATGAAAAACAGTTATGAGCAAAAAAGTAACCTTGATGATTATATTAGTCATATTTCCCAATAAAAACTCCACCATCTTTTTTATTCTCAAGAACTGCCTTGTTTCGTTACGATCAACATAAAACCTTTCAGCTAGAACATGATAACCATGGCGTGCAAGAAAGAGACTATACCACACAGTCAGACGCGTACGCAGGGTGGGGGGGGGTTGGAGTTAAACCCCCCCCCTCGAGGTGAATTACGCCCCCCCCAAAAAAATGGAAAAAATTACAAATTTTCAAATTTCGAGACCAAAAAAAAAGAAAGAAAAGTGTCCTCTAACCCCCCCCCCCCCCCCCCCCCCCCCCGCTTATTCAGCGGCTGGCTGAGTCGTTGCGATTTTTGGGGGACTCTAAAAAAAAAAAATTAAAAATGTACGCTTACCCCCCCCCCCCCCCCCCGCTTATTCAGCGGCTGCTGAGTCGTTGCGAAATTTTGGGCCCGATTTGAAACCCCCCCCCCCTTGAAAAATCATGCGTACGTCACTGCCAGGCGCGTACGCAGGGGGGGGGGGTTAATTGGGCACATTCTTTTTTTTTTTTACCCTCGAAAATTTGCACCCCCCAAAAAAGCTAAAAAAATCTCGTGTTTAACACGTTTTTTATCCCAGGGGTTACCCCCCCCTTGAGTTATGCCAATGGCCGACCTAAAAAAGGTGACCTAACCCCCCCCCCCCCACTTCCCCTAACGAAACAAAAAGTCAAATTTTCAAATTTCGAGACATCCCCCCCAAAAAATGTCAGTGCATTGTAAATTTGATTTTTCTTTAAATTTCATTTAAAAATCTTTTCATATTTGATAAATATGGTGCATTGGCACATGGGCTATGGTTGGAGCTTTGGATGAATATTGAACCGCGTTGGTGTATTATGTGGATTTATCATATTCAGATTTTGAATATTTTTAGCCAATCGAATAATATTGAAAAGGATGCAATTCATAGTTGTACTCGATAATTTTCACCTAACATATTCTCTCTCTCTCTTGCATAAAGAAAATATGAAAATAATATTTTGCCTTGATTAAGAAAAATTTAAATGTTATCAGTATTAAACAGGGAGAAGGTAAGGGAAGGAAATTAATCAAAACAAACATTGAATAATACAATTCAGTGTTCTTTCGTGATGCATAAGAATGAAAGTACATTAAAAGGTGAAATAATAAATTGAAGAGCGATGATAAATCAATTCGTTGACGTTGATTGTTTGAATAAAAAAAATGAAACAATATGGTCTGAGGGTCATATATCTTCGAATATTAGATAGTTTTATCCACCATCGTGTTGTTGAACACTTTTTGCAATTTAATTTGAATGCGGTGACTTGTCGGTTACGAGCAGAAGGTCATTTCAGGCTTCGATATTCTATAACACTAGAAGCTATCTAGACAGTAATTCAACAGATATCTGGGTAGAGACACTTCGTTTCATCAAGCTATATCATCTCACGAATTCTACTCCAACACCGCATCGGAATCAGGTAGGACCAATATCCATTACGTTATGCCTGTTGGACACGATATGTCTTTCTGATTCCGTCAGTTTGTAATTGGATTGACAATGAT